GACACATCGAGCGGCTGCCACCCGCACAACCAACCAGGGCCGGGGACAAACTGCAACCGAGGTACGTGCCCTTAGCGGGAACCGAACCCGGGTCTCTCTGGACCGCAGGCCGATGCTCTAACCGCTGAGCCAAACCGACCAGGGCTCTGTCCATTTTTTAATCAGGGTGTTTATATTTTTATTGAGTTGTGTAAGTTTTTTATATTTTTTTAATATTAACCCCTTAGCTGATAATTTGTAAATATCTTCTCCCATTCAGTTGATGGTTTCCTTCATTGTGCAGAAGCTTTATAGTTTGATGTAGTCCCACTTATTTTTGCTTCTGTTTCCCTTGCCTTTGGAGTCATATCCAAAAGAAAAACAATTTCTGAGACCAATGTCAAATAGCTTATTACCTGTATTTTCCTCTAGGAATTTTATGATTCCAGGTCTTATATTAAAGTCTAATCCATTTTGAGTTAATTTTTGTGTATGATGTAAGATAGTGGACGAGTTTCACTCTTTTGCATGTAGCTGATCGGTTTTCCTACCACCATTTATTGAAGAAACTGTTCTTTCTCCATTGTATGATTGATCTTGGTTCCTTTGTTGTAAATTAATTGCCCATACACGTGCAGATTTATTTCTGGGCTTTCTATTCTATTGATCTCTGTTGTCTTTATGCCAATATCATACTGTTTTGATTATTGTAGCCTTGTAATGTGAAATCAGGGAGTGTGATACCTCCAACTCTTTTCTTTCTTTCTTTTTTTAAAATATGTTTTTATTGATTTTTTTAGAGAGAGATAGAAACATCGATTGGCCGCCTCCTGCTTTCCCCCTACTGGGGATTGAGCTCGCAGCCTGGGCATGTGCCCCGACCTGGAATCTAACCAGCACCTCTCAGTGCATGGGATGACACTCAGTCCACTGAGCCACACCATCTGGGCCAGTATAGTTCTTTTTTCTCAAGATTGCTTTGGCTATTTGGAGTCTTTTGTGATTCCATACAACTTTTGAATTATTGGTTCTATTTCTGTGAAAAATGCCATTGGAAGTTTGATAGGGATTGCATTGAATTTGTAGATTGCTTTGGGTAGTATGGACATTTTAACAACACTAATTCTTTCAGTATTTGAGAATAGAATATTTTATTAATTGGTGTCATCTTCAATTTCATTTATTAATGTCTTCTAGTTTTCAGTTTATAGATCTTATACCTCCTTGGTTAAATTAATTCTTAGGTATTTTTTTATTTTTTATTTTGATGTATTTGTAAATGGGATTGTTTTCTTAATTTCTCTTTCTGGTAGTTTTTTATTAGTGAGTAGAAATGCCACAGTTTTTTGATTTTGTATCCTGAAAGTTTACTGAATTCACTTGTTAGTCTAACATTTTTTGTGTGCATTGTGTAGAGTTTTCTATAGATAGTATTATGTCATCTACAAATAGTGAGTTTTACTTCTTTCTTTATGATTTGGATACATTTTCTTCTTTTTTCTTGCCTAATTGCTCTAACTGGGACTTCCAATACTATGTTGAATAATAGTGGAAAGAGTGGGCATCCTTGTCTTGTTCTTGATCCTAGAGATAAAGCTTTCAGCTTTTCACCTTATTCAATGTTAGCTGTGGTTTGTCATAGATGGGTTGTATTATATTGAGGTATGTTCCCTCTGGACCCATTTTTTGAGATTTTTTTATCATAAATGGTTTTTGTCAAATGCTTTGTCTGCCTCTGTTGAGATGATCATATGATTTTTGTCCTTCATTTTGTTAATGTGGTTGGTGTATTGCATTGATTGTTTTGCAGATGTTAAACTATCCTTGCATCCCTGGAATAAATCCCACTTGAACATGGTATATGATCTTTTCAATGTTTTGTTGCATTTGGTTTGCTAATATTTTGTTTAGGGATTTTGTATCTATGTTCTTTTGAGATATAGGCCTTTTTTTGTATCCTTGTCTAGTTTTGATATCAGGGTAATGCTGGACTCATAAAATGAGTTTGGAAGTATTACCTGTTCTTCAATTTTTTTGGAAGAATGAGAAGGATAGGTATTAAATCTTCTTGCAGTATTTGACAATTCACCAGTGAAGCCATTTGGTCCTGAGCTTTTGTTTGCTGGGAGATTTTTTTTCATCCTCACTTGAGGATATATTTTTCAGTGATTTTCAGATAGAGTGGAAGGGAGGGAGGGGGAGAGAGAAAGAGAAACATCAATGTGAGAGATACATATTGACTGGTTGCCTCCCACACAACCCCGACCAGAGCTGGGAATCAAACCTGCAACTGAGGTATGTACCTTTGACCAGAATCGAACCCATGGCTCTTTGGTCAATGGGCTGACGCTCTAATCACTGAGCCAAACCTGCTAGGGCTGCTGGGAGGTTTTTAAAAATTGTTTTCATTTTTCCCTGTCCAGTTTTGCTCAGTGATTAGAGTGTCGGCCCATGAACTGAAGGGTCACTGGTTTTATTCTTGATCAAGGTCACGTACCTGGGTTGCAGGTTGGATCACCAGCCTTGGTCAGATCACATGTGGGAGGCAACTGATTGATGTGTTTCTCTCACATTGATGTTTCTCTCTCTCTCTCTCTTCTCTCTTCCTCCCCCTTTCTCCCTGCCACTGTCTCTGGAAATCAGTGTAAGGAAAACCCTCAGGTGAGGATTAACATCAACGACAAAATTGTTTTTAACTTTTTTATTTTTTATTACCAATACAGTCTCCTTATTAGTAGGTCTATTCATATTTTCTGTTTATTCATTGTTTGGTCTTGGAAGGGTGGGTACATCTAGGAATTTATCAGTTTGTTATAGGTTATCCAGTTATTTGGCATATAATTGTTCAAAGTAATCTCTTATGGTCTGTTATCAGTTGTAAGTTCTCCACTTTCCTTTCTGATATTGAGTCCTCTCTTTTTCTTGTTGAGTTTAGCTAAAGGTCTTTTTATTGTGTTCATCTTTTCAGAGAATAGAAATTCCAAGCTCTTAGCTTCATTGATCTTTTTTATTGTTTTTATAGTCTGCATCTCATTTATTTTTGCTCTGATCTTTATTATTTTCTTTCTTTTACTAACTTCGGGCTTTGTTTATTCTCCTTTTTCTAGTTCCATTAGGTGTAATGTTAGATTGTTTATTTGAGATACTTACTTTTCAAGGTAGGCCTTTGTTGGTATGAACTTCCCAGTTAGAACTTTTGCTACACTCCATATATTTTGGAAAGTTGTATTTCCATTTTCATTTGTCTCAAAGGATTTTTTTATTTCAATTTTGATATCTTTTGTTGACTTACTGTTTGTTCAGTAGCACGCTATTTAATATCCACATATTTGTGATTTTTCAGTTTTCTTTTTGTGATTGATTTCCAGTTTCATACCATTATAGTCACACTTGATATGATTTCAGTCTTCTTAAATTTATTGAGACTTGTTTTGTGGCCTAACATACAATTTATTCTGGAGAATGTTTCATGGGAAGAATATGTATTCTGCTGCTTTTGGATGGAATGTTTAGTCATATATCTATTAAGTGCATTAAGTTTAATGTATTGTTTAAGGCAATGTTTTTTTTATTGATTTTCTGTCTGGATGATCTATCTATTGATGTAAATAGGGTATTGAAGTCCCCTATTATTATTGTATTGCTCTAGGTCTGTTAGTATTTGCTTTATATATTTAGCCTCCTATATTAGATGCATATACAGGGGTGGGCAAAATTAGGTTTATAGTTGTGAGTACACAAAGCAGAGTATTCTTGTATTACTTATTAATTATTGTATTATATATTTGTACAACCTACTTTTGCCCAACCTTGTGTATTTACAAATGTTGTGTCTTCTTTTTGAATTTACTCTGTTATCATAGAATGTCCATCTTTGCCTTTTATTATAGTCTTTGTTTTATAGTCTATTTTGTCTGATAAGTATAACTACTCTAGCTTTCTTTTTGTTTCAATTTGCATGAAATATCTTTTTCCATCTCTTCACTTTTAGTCTGTGTATGCCCTTATATTTGAAGTGAATCTCTTGTAGCTATCATATAGATGGGTGTTGGTTTTTATTCATTCAGCCACTCTCTGTTTTTCAATTGGAGTATTTAGTTCATTTACATTTAAAGTAATTCTAGATAGGTATATACTTATTGCCATTTTATTCGTTGTTTTCTAGCTGTTTTGTTGTTTTTCTCGTCTTCTTTCTCTTGTGGTTTGATGACTTTCTTTAGTATTATGTTTAGTTTCCATTTTTATTATCTTTTGTATATCTACTATTGGTTTATACTTTGTGGTTATCATGGGGCTCACATGTATCACATATATATTCTGGTCTGTTTTAAGTTGATAGCAAGTTAAGTATGAACACATTCTAGAACTATATTTTCACTCCCTCTTACTCATGTTTTATGTTATTGATGTCATATATTATACCTTTTTATTTTGTGTCCCTTTACTGATGGTTGTAGTTATTACTTTTACTACTTTTGTCTTTTACCCTTCAAATTAACTTTGTAATTGATTAGTTTGCTACTTTTACTATATTATTTACCTTTATCAGCAAGATTTTTACTTAATGTTTTCTTTTTACTAATTAGTACTCTTGTTTTTATCTTAAATAAGTCTAACATTTATTTATTTATTTATTTATTTATTTATTTATTTATTTATTTATTTATTTATTTATTTTTATCCTCACCCGAGGATATTCTTTCTTTTTTGTACAGATAGAGTGGGAGGGAGAGAGAGAGAGAGAAACATCGACGTGAAGGGACACATCGAGTGGCTGCCACCCGCACGACCAACCAGGGCCGGGGACAAACTGCAACCGAAGTACGTGCCCTTAGCGGGAACCGAACCCGGGTCTCTCCGGACCGCAGGCCGACGCTCTAACCGCTGAGCCAAACTGGCCAGGGCCTAACATTTATTTTAAGGCCCATTTAGTGTTGGTGAACTTCCTTGGTTTTTACTTTTCTTGAAAACTGATTGATAATCTTGCCATGTAGATTATTTTTTACTTTATTTACTTTCAGCATTTTGAATATATCATCTCATTTCCTTCTGGCCTGCAAAGTTTCTGCTGAAAAATCTGCTGATAGTATCTGAACTTTAAATATACATTGACTGCAGTTTTTACATTTGGTTGCATTAAGTTAAAGGTAAGAAAAATAGGAAATGTATGTTGTATTTGGTACTCTGACACTAGTTATCTATTGAAATTTATTTAAAATAACAGAAGTCTGCAAGATTTCCTCCACTACCTGCCATTAATGCTCCTCCACCTTCTAACCAGTTGGTTACACCTAGGAATATATATCTAGTGACTGTAGCAATCTAAGTATTCATCTTTCAAAAATACACAATTCCAAATAGGAGGCAGCTTAAAATGCAAAGGAAAAGTAAGTTAGTAGAAACAACCAGAGACAGGTACAATGAGAAAATATTGAAGTACTCGCTCTCTCTGCTACTTGTGTAGAGCTGGCATTCAGTGAGTATTTCCTTTTTCTTCACTTGCTTGCTTTTGAATTTAACAAATTTGGTTGTTTTTTTTTGTAAAAATTTTTTTTCTTTATTGATTTTCAAATGAGAAATGGAGAGGGAGAGAGAGATAGAAACATCGATTGGCCACATCCTGCGTGCCCCCCACTAGAGATTGGGCCCACAACCTGGGTATGTGTCCTGACCTGAATTAAACGGGTGACCTCTTGGTGCATGGGTCAATGCCCAACCACTGAGCCACACCAGCTGGCCTTGGTTGGATTTCTTTAAGAATTACAAGACATTTAGGAATAAGTGGAATTTTTTTTTTAAGGATTAGGAGATAACTTTTAAGCAGTATTTTGAAAGGGAGGAGAGTCATATTTTGGTTGAGAGAAAAGGAAGAAGGTGTCAGTGAAGAAGGGACAACTCTAGATAGTTTAGGAACATCTGTGAAGTCTGTTATGCTTTTTGCTCCAGCTAGGCTTGGATCATACTTCTGTGCTTGCATTACACTTCAAACAGGGATTCCTTGTAGCAATTATTGTTATGTGTTAGAAGCTGCCGCCAGTGCTTTTTACCTGTTTGTACTCAGGACCTCACTCAGTGCCAGGCATGTTATAGACATTTAATCAGTACTTATTGGGTGAATCAATAAATGAACAAATGAAAGACTTTTTTCTAAGACATAGGCAACAGGACAAAAATTCCTTTGCTGGGTAGCCATAGTAATGGTTGGACCTGTCATTAGATCAATTTATTGTTGAGGTGCTTAATTAGAGCAAGAATTGGTTCAGGAACTTGGGATATGAAACAGGGATGAAATTGTTCAGCAGAAACCAGAAGCATTCTATGAGTAGAAATACAATTAGGAGATTTTTCACAAAATTAACCTTCATGATATAAGTGCTTTTGTCATTTTCTAAATATATATAAATCAAATATTTTTGAAAGAGAAATAATTTTTAATGTGCAACATTGTATCTGTGAAATTTGATTTTTATCTTCTTTTCCTTGGTCTTAAAAAAGACTCTTTGAAAAAAAGTCTTTGGGGAGTCTTTTCCTTATATCTTTTTTACATTCCAAAACAAATACATATTTATGATAAAAATGCAAACTAGAGGTACGTAAAGTAGAAAGTGACATTTCCCCTCCTTTTCCAAGTTTCACTTTTCAGAGGTAGTGATAAAAGCTTGATGTGTATTCATTTTTACTTTTAAAATATGTATATGCAAGAACCTGCATGTTTATGTTTGTATAATTTTGAAAGTAAGATAATTTGATATACAAGTTCTGAAATTTGCTTTTCCTACTTATCCACCAGTGTGTACTTATGCTCCTGTAATTCTGAAATTTGTTGGGCATATTAGAGGACAGAACTAGCAGAGAATAAAATTCAGAAACCAGTGTAATCAAATGTATGGGGATGTCAATCAGCGGTTGTTGGCGTCAATTCAGTGCCAACAGGAATCCTCAATTTGGGGTGTGGCAAAGAAGGAAACTTTATTTATTGCCAACATCTCAACATAACACAGCATGGCTGTGCAAAGAGCACTGCTATGGAGCAGCTCCACAGCGCTGCAGTGCAGCATGACAACCACACTGCTGAGGCTGCCCTGGGGCCAGGCCCTCTTCGGCTAGGCAGCTCTGCTCCCTAATGGTCTGCTCAGCTCTGCCCCACTTTGCCTGGTCTGCTCTGCGCTGTTCTGCTGGTCTTATCCACTCCAAGCCTGTGTGTTTTGCTCTGCTCCAGTGATACATCTTTGGGGAGCTCAGGAAATGCAGTCCTTAGTCTTCAGTGGGAAATGTATTCTCTGAGCCACAGGGCAGCTTGTTTATATAGGCAGAAGTCCCTGCTCCTGGTCCCTCATAGGTCAGAATAGAGTTGCTCTGATTGGTCAGAGCGGCACAGCTCCAGTGGGATGGGGAAAACCTTAGTCCTACTGGTTGAAATAGGACTCCAGGAATTCTTGTTATGAGTGCTGGCTTAAATGGCAGAAACACAGTGCAGGCAGGTGCTCCTGTGCAGAGGCAGGCGGCACAGGGCTTCTCTGTGAGGTGTGGTTTGCATGAGAGGACTCTGTGCAGAAATGGCTGCTGGGCTCTGCTTTGTACATTTATTTTTTATTTGAGCCCAGTTAACACCAGGAACGCTTCTTATTTCTTAAGATTTATAGAGGGGATGAAATTTAAAAATCTCAGGATGAAAAAATACTATGTGGCTTTAAGAAAGAAAAATCTCTTACCCTTTGAGGACCTGGAGGGACCTGGAGAGTATTATGCTAAGTGAAATAAGCCAGTCAGAGAAAGACAAGTATCACATGATCTCACTTATTTGTAGAATATAATGAACAAAATAAGCTGATGAACAAAATAGATTCAGAGAAGCATGGAACAAACTGACAAACCTCAGAGGGAAAGGGGAGGGAGAGCGGGAAGAGATAAACTGAAGAATTTATATGCATATATGCATGACCAATGGACACAGACAACAGTGCTGTGATGGTGGGGGTGGGGTGAGATGGGGGGTGGAGCAGGGAGTAAGGTGTCACTGGGGGGGAAAAAGGGAGAGACATCTGTAATACTTTCAACAATAAAGATAAATTAAATAAATAAAAGGCAGCTAGTAAGCAGAAAAAAATACCTGCTGTTTGTTATTGGTTTAATTGCTATTTGTAATTCAGAAGTACCTCTTTTTGACTTGTTTAATCTATATGAAATTAGTAATCATTTTTCATATAATGCATTTAAGAATATACACATAAAGGGTAATTAGAGTAGAACTTTAAGATTTATTGAGTACACCCATATGCCCAGTATGTGAGAAACATGGGATATAATCATGAACAGGACACTGTTAGGACATTGTTATTACTGAGGGCTCTGATAGCAAATTGCAGAGGTAGAGATGGCTGCCTGGAGGAGATGATATGAGCACAATCTTGAAATACTTGTGAGAGTTAGCCACGCTTTAAAAAAATGGCCAGGGGAGTCAAGAAGGACTGAGTCAGATTTGGAGATAGTACAAGTATAGAAGGACAGAAAGTCAAGGGAAGTGAGTTGATTCAATATGTGTAGGGAAAGAAGTAGGGGGCCTATATGCTCCAGCTTGTTTGGGAAAGTCTAGTTTTCCTGGCACAGTGAAGAATAGCATCTCTGTTACTCATAAAAGTATCCCAGTTCTGGTTGATAAATGGCATGTTCACTTTAGAAGAGAGAGGCTACATAGGGAGCTGATAAATTTTAGGGAATATGGTTTGACCACTGGGTAGCTAGAGATTTCTTTGAGGTCAGGGTAGGTATAGAAGCAGTTAAGACTCCAGAGAGATGGAATGTAGTAGGTTACAATCTAAAACTAGAATATTAAAAGTTACCATTGCAGAGATGGAACGATTTTAGATTCGGGCTATGTGCAATAAGAGGGGTAGTTGAAATACAGTTGGATCAAATGGGTCTTTGGAGAAGAGAAAGACTAGAGATTAAAATCTCCATGGATGAACATAAGAGTTGGGTTAGAGAATAACATTTTGGAACAAGTGGAGATTGAGAGGAAGATTTGGAGACAAATAACTGTTAGGTGGGATAGGACTTGGTAAAGCTGAATGATGTAAATTTCAATGGAGAAGAGATTTTTCAGTAAGTTTAGAAGGGCAGTGATTTGGAAATGGCACTAAGGAAACAGGATGATGGTACCCGTCTCACCCCTCTCCCCAGCCTCGTGGGTATGGTGGGAGAATGTAAGTAAGGAAGGTATAGTTTCCACCTGAGAACACTGTGGTTTTGGGGAGCTGGGTTTCAGATAGGGTAAGGAGATTTAGGGAAGTTTATTTACAAACTAAATGGAATTCCAGAAGAACAATTTGGGAAGAAAACACATCCATTAGGGCATGATTATAGAGACAAGTATGGGCGGGGGAAGTGGGGGGTCAGGCCTTGCCTTTTGGGGGAAAAGTGAATTACACAAAAAAACCCAAGAATGAAACTTGCTTTCCATTATGTTCTAATCTAGAGTTGGGTTCCCCGAGAGGCTCTTACTGCAGTGTTTAGGGACTGGTTTTGGCTTGGTTCATTTAACTTATTATGGTTGGTACCTTGATGGTTACGTTTCTGCTAGTGTATGCTTTTAATGAACCTATTTGAAATTACACATATGGAGTTTGTAATTATTTTGACTTTTTCCTACATTCTTACCCCCCTCTCCCTTTTTTGATTCTCACCCGAGGACATTTTTTCATTTTTTGTTCAGATAGAGTGGGAGGGAGGGAGATAGAGAGAGAGAAACATCAACGTGAAAGAGACACATCGAGTGGCTGCCACCCAAACGACCCAACCAGGGCTGGGGACAAACTGCAACCGAGGTACGTGCCCTTAGTGGGAACCGAACCCGGGTCTCTCTGGACCACAGCCCGACGCTCTAACCGCTGAGCCAAACCAACCAGGGCATTACTCCCCTTTTTAAAAAAAATTTTTTTCTTTATTGATTTTAGAGAGAGAGAGAGTAAGGGAGAGAGAGAGATAGAAACATCAATGAGCAAGAACATTAACTAACCACTTCCTGCATGCTCCTCACTAGGGACAACCTGGGCATGTGCCCTGACCAGGAATCAAACCAGTGACCTCTTGGTGCATGGGTCAACGCTCCACCACCGGGCGGGCGACTCTCTCTTACTCTCTTTGAAGG